CCTTCCACTTCCCTCACAACCTTGCTATCTGACCCAAATCCAACAAAAGTCAATTATTATTACCGGTATACTTCACACACAAACGCAGCTTCCTTCCCCGCCCCTTCTTCCTCTCCCTACGCTTGACCCATGGGTCATGTCCCGCCCCTTCCCCTTCACGCCGCCATGTCCGGCGGGTCTGCAAGCAGTTCACTGATGCCATCGAAGTAGGGGTGACGCAGCGCCGCGGCAGCCGTGATCCTGGGGGCAGCGGTCGAGGGTACGGTTGAGGGGAGGGAGAGGAAGGCGGGGTTCGTGGGGCGGGGTTTGGCGGTTTGGGGGTTTGTAGGGAAAGGCAGCGGTAGACAGCGCGAAGGCAGTGTGAGGCACATGGAGAACAAGGCCAAAGTGATGTCACCGGCAACGGGATGGAGCTCCTGCCCCGTACTCCTGCCCAGCCCTGCCTGCTGCTGCTGCCTCCTGCCGCCCCAAACCCCTTGCCTTTCCCCTCTCTTTCCCCCCCACCGAACCCACCCACCCCGTCAACGCTATCCCCTTTTTGCCACTACCGTATCATCCATGCTGCTTCTTCTCCTTCTTCCCTTCCCCCTCCTCCCCGCCCCACCTCTGCGCCGGGTCGTAGGTGAGCATGCGGCGCATCAGGTCCCGACCCGGGCCGTCTAGTCGGGGGGCAATCTGGAGGGGGGAGGAGGGGAGGGAAAGAGGGGAGGGGAGGGGTAAGGAAGAGGCGCCCGAAGGGCAGTTCTCCCTCTTCCCCCCTGTCCAAACAAACTGCTTCACTCTATCCCGATTGCTTTGCCCTAACCTGTAGTTCTGGTATATCTTTGACCCCAGCAACTCACCTCCTCCCATGACCGCCCGCGGTACCTCTCCCCCCCTAGCCCCCCGTCCTCACCTCCTCCCACGGCCTACCCCGGTACTTGGGCAGAGCGGGCCGCCAGTGCGGCAGCTCCGACAGCCCAGGCCAGCAGGCCTCGTCGGGGGTGCCCAGCTTCTCAAAGATCTTGAGAAGCGTGTCGATCTCCTGTGTGGGTGGGTGGGGAAAAGTGCGGTAAGGGAAAAGTGAAGTACGTTTCCGACTCGGGCCAGTTTTCTTAACAGACACACACATGCCTGCTTCCGGTCTCATGACTCCCCTCCCCTCCCCTCATTAACCCTCCCTTTTAAGTTTCAACCCATTATGACACGAACCCACCGTGCGTGTACGAATACCGTATGTGCTGCCGTACGACACCACTCACCGTCGATCCCGGGAAAAGCGGCCAGCGGTTGGAGAGCTCCAGTACGACACACGCCACACTCCAGAGATCTACCGGGGTGCCGTACAGCTTGCCGCCTAGCAGCAGCTCCGGGGGGCGATACCACAGGGTAACCACCTGGGGGTGCGTGTGTGTTTTGTGAAGGGAGGAGAGGGGGGAAGGGGAGGAGAGGGGAGGAGAGGGGAGGAGAGGGGAGGAGAGGGGAGGAGAGGGGGGGGGGGTAAAGAGGAAGAAACTGCGTGACCGCGCAACGAACCGTGTGACACTGACACCTACATCGACCAGGATCCGCCGAGTGGGTATCACACAGCCCAGGGAAGGTGGGGCGGGTAATGGTGGGGCGTGTGGGGTGATATGGTGAGGTCCGAGGTGGGGTAAGTAAAGTGGGAGGGGCAACCTCGAGGAGGAGGAGGAGGAGGAGGGCTTGCCAACTAGCTGCACCGGTGACACCGGTTTCCTGTTGCACCGACATGCCTCGAAGCCGGGGTGCAGCGGGGTATACTGGTATGCTGCCTTGCTGCCACCCCCCCCACCTTGGGATTCTTCTTTTCCCCCCTTACCTCGGGGCTTAGGATGCGCAGGGGCACTCCGAAGGCTCGTGACAGCCCGAAATCCGCAATCTTGATGCGGTTGTGGTTGTGCAGATCCACTAGCAGGTTCTGGGGGTGGGGGTGAGGGTGGTGGGGGTGGTGGGGGTGGTGGGGTGGGAGATTGGGGGTGGGTTTGGTGAGGCCTCTTGGAGCGAAACACATGGTCACCCCTCCGCCTCTCCCACTCCCCCCACCCACCGCAAACCTTCTCTTCCCACCACCGCCCCCCACCCCTCAACTGTGGGGAGTCTCATTAATTTTTACCCCCCCCCCCCCCCTCACCTGCGGCTTGAGGTCCCGGTGAAGGATGCGGCGGCGGTGGCAGTACTCCACCCCGCACAGCACCTGATAGGTGTAGTACTGGGGAGGAAAAAGGGAGGCGGGAGGGGAGGGGGGAAAGGGAGGAGGGGGGAAAATTAAATAAGTGAAACAACGAGTCCCAATCCCATATCCCGACTCATGCAGTGAGCGCATTCGGAGACACTATCCTAAAGACACGCATCTCAAATTACGTTGCTTACCGTAAACCGAGACGACTTGAGGAAGAAGCCGCCTTGCGTGGTAACACTAGGGAGACATGTGCCGCGCCGCCGGTCACGAATTCCAAAGCAACAAGGATATTGGGTACACAAGCATACACGTTATCGAGACGCGTTACGGGAAACTTACCTCCACCCCCCAGGGAGGAGGGGGAGGGGGGTTTGCATTGGGCGCGGCGGGCCGCTGGCTGCCTGCTGCTATAGCGATACGCGGGCCGTGTCGAGCCTATGTGTGTGTGTTTCGTGCGACACGCGTGTGTATTGCCGTACTCATGGGTGGGTACTGCCGTACCTTGACCAGTCGTGCGTTGGACCCCAGGTGCGGGTAGATGTGCATCAGCCGGTGCAGGTCGAGGTCCTGTGAAGCATCAGGGGGGTTGGTGCGGGCAAGGGTAACGGTATTGTTTTTGGAGCAACAGGCGCCTCCCACCCTGCCTCCCACCCTGCCTCCCACCCTGCCTCCCACCCTGCTCCCACCAGGAACTCGAAGATGAGGAAGAGCTGTGTGCTGCGCTGGGCCGCATCCGCTCCCCCGCCGTGGTCTCGAGTGACCTCGCGCAGCCTTGGTAGCGGAGGGAGGGGAGTGGGGCGGGAAGGAGGGGCAGGGGAAGCTGGAATAAGGACAAGCAAAGAGGAAGAAACTAGTCTCCAATGGGGTGCACCACTCGACCACGACCCATGGGTCGCTCCTCCCGCTTCCCCTCCTCCTCAAGCACCCCCTCCCAAGCCCCCCCCCCCACCCACACACACACCCCACCTGACCACACACCCCACCCTGACACTCCCCACTGCACTGCACCGCATCACACACGGCCGTGCCCCTCTGCTGGCCTTTGCCTGTCCGCTGCACGCATACCATTGCCAGTCGTCTTGCTCCTAGACAACGCTACCGTCGTCTTGCTTTTAGACAACGCTACTTTTCAGTGCGGTTCAGCTGACCGCTGCAGCCACAGCTCAGCGCCTGCTCGACCACTCACGCCGGTTGTTTTTGTTTTTGTTTCTGCATTTGCATTCATGTTGTGCTGTGCTTGCTTTCGTCCTGTCTCGCATGCCATCCTGCTTTGCCGTACATTTTGCATTTAGATATAGGTTCCTTTTGCCTCTAACTCGGTCCCCCTTTCCTCGCTCTGGTTCATGTTTCTGCGCATGGCATTACTCGCATTACTGCGGCTGCTGGTCCTGGTGCTGACTACGGCGTTTTTGCTTGCAGGTACGCAATGCGCGTTTGCACGCACGCATGCACAGCATTGTGGTGTCTCGTCTGCGTGACCAGAGCGGGGGCTCCCGGCGTCGAGTTGGTCAGCGGGCTTTAGTTCTCGGTAGTATTTTAGTTTTCCGACAACCATCAGCATCCCCGACATGCGTCGTCACTCGTCACCCGCCACTCTTCTTACATCCAGCAACAGCTAATTAAGCAGCTTTTGAATTACGGTTCAGGTTTGGTCACCTCTGTTTTTGCCTGTACTCGCGGTTCACATGCGAACCTCTCCCAATTGCTTGCTCTTGTCCTACTCAACTACACACCCCACCTGACCACGTTGTCGTGCCGCAGCTCCAACAAGATGGCGATCTCCCTCAGCGCGCTGCTGGGAACCCCCTCCTCGCTGTCGTCGGGGCGCATCTCCTGGGGGTTCAAAGTCCACACCGAACCATAGGAAACCACAGATTGAGGCAAAACAATGTTAAAAGCAAGCGGCAGAGGATGCGGGAGGGCGTGCGGGAAGGCGCGGGAGAGCACGCACGCGTACTTCCCCCCCCCGGACCCTTCCTTTACTAATTCCTCCCCCCCTTTCCGCTCACCTTGACCGCCACCGTCTGCCCAGTGGCTATCTCGGTGGCGCGGTAGACCACTCCGTAGGTGCCCTCGCCCACCCGACGCTCTAGACGGTACTGCAATGGGGAGGGAGCGGGGGAAGAGTGAGAAGGGAAGGGGGGATACCAAACCGTAGGAAACTACAGGTTAGGGCAAAGCAATGGGGGTAGGAGGCGGCAGGGTGCCAAGGTGTAAATAGAGTGGCTATCCGAAGGGAGGCCCGAAAGGTCAGCAAAGGGGAGGGGAGCGTCGGAGGAGAGGTTATGAGGCTGATAGCAGGGCTGCGGGCTCTCCCAGTGACCCGCGGGTCAGCAGGACCGCTGCTAACATATCCATACTGTCCACACGGCAGCTGGCGCCAGTCTGCCAGCCAACTCCGCGGGTCATGGTACGCAAAAAAGCTCCATAACCCTAACGAAAAAACACATCAGTTATATAGTTATGAGTTGGCCATCCAGCCTGCTTCCGCGTTTCCAGGAAAGCGTAGGTTGCGCGGCGCCACCCCACAGCCTTGTCTTTCCCTCCTTGTGTTGAGTAAAGTGTGCGCTTCTGTACTAGCTTGTGAGTTCTACTTACCCTGTTGTTGAGCAGCCTTGGGAGGCCCTCCGTCGCCGCGCTTCGCTGGTACATCACTCACAGCTTCCCGATCGCACGCGCTAGCTTGGTAGCAACAGCGGAGAAGTAAAGGAAGGCAGAAGAACGCAGCAGTGTGATAGGGCTAAATGGAAAAAGCCGGGGAAAAAGGAGACGGCTGCAGTCCAGAGGATGAGAAGAAGAGTTTGGTGCTACAAAGCACGCGTGCACGCTAGATGGAAGGTACAAGTACACTAGCTGCTAGTGCGGTGGTACGAGAGTGCGTCGTCAGCTAACGAGCACTCGGGGCGTCAGGTGCGAGCCTGAGCAGCCGTCTGAATTAGCAGCATCCCCTTTGTGTGTGGTTACGGTATCCCTTGTTGTCTGCTGCCTGGACGTTTCACCAAGCGCTGCTGGACTAGCCGCTTTCAGGCGCATTGTACGGCGGCCAAGCCGCGCGCTACCGTACAATCGATAAAGGCAGTCAGCCAGCCAGCCAGGTTTGCAAGCAGCATTCCACCTTCCCACGCTTGACCTTACCAACCATAGCAATTAAGTACCAGCAGCATTCATACATCTTGTGCCGTCCGGGTGCCATCAGCCTTACTGCTGATCTCACTACAGATCTGCTGGGGGCATGTGCATGCATGTGGGCACTTCCTTGGTCCGCCCCAGGATTGCGGTCTGACCTCTCTAATGCGCGCTGGGTACGTACTGTCTAATGTGACCCGCGGGTCATGCAAACACGCCAACATGCCACAAGTCCAACTACTTTCACACTCTTATCCGGAAAAAGAACGCCGCCTCTGTTGTACCGCCTCTCATACCGGTACATGGTTCGCGCACCCTCCTAGACAGAGACATCCTGCTGCCACCTGCTGCCTCACCGCGCGTTCTCCTCTCAACCCCTCTCCCACTCCTCCTCTCTGTCGTCTCTCCTCCGCTCCCTGCTCCCCCCTTTCCTCGCTCCCTCGCCATTCAGTCACCACCCCTTCTCCTCAACTCACTGGTCAGTTCCTCCTCTTTCCCTACCTCCTCCCTATCTCCCCCCTCTCCCTCCCTGCATCCCCCCCTCACCACCAGTCCACCATGAACTCCGCCCCCGGCCCCAGGCTGCCCCCGCCCCGCTGCACCTGCGTCACCACTCCAGGGTTGCGCAGCAGCATCAGCCGCACGTCCACACCAGGCATTAGCCTATACGAGGGGAGGCAGGGGGGCAGGCGGCAGGAGGGGGAGGAGGCGCTGCTTGGGTGTGTACATAAAGCGATACAAGGATGTATCACATGTATGCGGTGCCCGCATAAGGAATGCCACTGCTGACAGAACAAACGGGGTGCGGCGCTGCGGATGGCCTGCGCAGCAGCCACGTCCGCTGCTGCAGCTGCTGCTGCGGTTGCTGCCCTCGCCGGTGCCCTCCCCCAAGCTGCATCCTCCTCCTCCCACGCACCGCCTCCTCCTCCTCCTCCTTACCGCCGCCGCGTCTGCTCCTGGTCCTTTGCTGCAAGTCCTGCTGCTTCACGCGCTGCCACGCCTGTGTTAGCACCACTCGCCGCCGCACCGCCGACCCCACTCTCAGGCCCTTCCCAGCTCCCTCCCCTCTCGGGCCTCAAGCCTCAGCCTCAGCGGCTGCTACCACAGACTGAGTTTGCGGTTGTTGGCGACCAGCAGCAGCAGGTCGGGGTCGGCCCGCAGCAACCGGGCACACCACCCGGACTGCTGGGGCTGCTGCTGCTGACGGGTGTTGGTAGCGCCAGTGCCGGAGCTGATGCTGCCACTACCGCTGCTGCTGCCACCGCTGCTGCTGCCGCCGGATGAAAGCAGTCTGGGAGGGAGGCCGGGGGACATGCGGGTCAGGCATAGGGCGGAGCGGGGGGCTGGTAGGCTGGTTGCTTGGTTGGGGCCCCCCGTGCTGCATGCTGCTGGGGATGCCGACATGTCGGGCTGCTGCTGTTGCTGCCTGGCTAGCGCCCCTCCCCTGCCGCCCCCAGCTATTCTCCCCCTCACCCACCCAGTCCCAACGGCCCCCCGGTTCTTCAGGAACGGGCTGGCGCTCAACATACCCAACCGCCATTCCCCATCCCCCCCCCGCCCCGCCTCTCCCCCCGCACCTCTCCAGCTCGCCCACCACCCAGTCCACATCCTCCACCAGCAGCAGAGGCTGGCGGGTAACCTGGGGGGGAAGAGGAGGTGGCGAGGGGGCAAGAAGTGAGGTGGAGGTGGGGGATACTGAATTGCAGCACTACTGCCACCCTCTACCGCATGCCTCACCCCCGCCCTCAAGCCCTTCCCCACCATGCCCCCCGCTCCACCCCCACCCGCCCTTCCCCACCATCTCATCCACGCCCCCCTCCGGGAACATGGTGTGCAGCTTGCGGTGCGCCTCTCGCACGCCGCCCCACCCCCCCGCCTCCGTCAGCAGTCCGGGGTGGCGGCCCAGCAGGGCGCACAGGTCGGCGGAGGGGAACCACTCACGAAGCTGGACCTGGGGGGGGGGAGGTGGGGAGGGGAGGGAGGGAGGGAGCAGGACAGGAGTTGTGAGAGCACGGGAGTATGACACAGCATGATTCCCTTGGTTTTCTGCAGTCCCCTGCTCCCTCCTTTACCCCTCCCTTTTCCCTCCTCGTTACCCTCCTCCATGGTGGAGCTGCGTTGTCGCAGGGTTAGCACTTAGCAGGTTTCTTCCTCCTTACCACCACCACCACCCCGCCCTCCCGTCCCCACCATCTTGCCCGCCACCGCTGCCGTGTTGCCAGCCAGCTCCGCCAGCAGCGCGGGCTGCAGGGACGCCAGGCGGGGGCGCAGCGAGGGCAGCAGCAGCAGCAGCTCCTGGGGGGGAGAGGGGGTAGGAGGAGGGAGGGGGAAGGGGGCGGGAGAGAGGGCGGGGAATGAAGGGAGACACATCGTTGCATGAGGGTGAAGCAGTGGGCGAAGAGCCATCACCGCGGTCCCGCACCTCACCTGGACCTGCTCCGTGAAGGCTGCAGGGTCGGCGCCGCTGAGCTGGGCTGCAGCAGAGGCGATAAGCGCCTGGGGTTGGCAGGCGTGTGTGAAAAAGGGGAGGAAAGCGTGATACGACAATGTTTAATGACATGGCATCGCGGGTTGAGAAGCCGTGAGGCCAGCAGGAGCTGCTAAAAGTGTACAGTGCGCCCCAAGTGTCGTTGACTCACTATTCTTTGCTCCTCCGACAGCTGGATGCGGTCAGGTGAGACCATTCTACCCATAAGCGTCCATGGTTGTGAGGACCCCGTCGAAGCAGAAGCGTTAGGCTGTGTTGCGTGGACTTGTCCTTGACCTTCATTAGTTGCACGCAGAGCTAATCGCCATACCGAGCCACGAGCTTTTGGTTGATGCAAGGGTAAGTTAATGCGGTCACTAGGGCTATGACTATAGAGGCAAGGGTCTGTACGCAAGACACCCATTCCTGTGAGTGTTTGCGCTACAAGCAATTAATTACAACAGGTAGGACATTGAAGCCGAAGTGCGTAGGCTCTCGGGTCTGGCTAGCTGTCAACCGTTCCGTCCCCATAAGTCTACTACTATGGGCAGTATGCTGTAATGTAAGTTTTATGTTGTGTAACCAACCGTGCATGTAACGCGTTCTTTGCGGGGGAAAAAAGCAAAAAACATACCCGTACTGTGGCGCCTACGATATATACGGTCGCTTTGTGCCTTGATGTGCCGGGCTCGTGTTGTGCGCCAAACTTCAGGCACCAAACTAAGGCACATGCAGATAGGTGAGCTGCCGGGCTCCTAAGCCGAGCGTGCAGCTCATGCCGAGCGCACGTACGAGCGGTCCATAGGCCACTCGGGCCCCACAAAAAGGCAATGCTCGACTTAATTGTGACCCGCGTAGTTTTGTTAGGGATAACCTTCAACCGGGAGTGAAGATGTGTCGTGCGGTGAAATGGATGGGTACTGCCTCACATCATGACACCTACATTCCGCGTAGGCACTATGTGTCACTAAGCCGCTTTCGTCTATGTGCTTGGCCGCTAGCTGTTAACCGACCGCATGGGGTTGTCCGCAGTGAGCGCTGGTGCAGGATGTGTGGCTGCCGAGATGCGGTGGAGGATGAGTTGCATGTACTGCTGGAATGTCCCGCCAATAATGAGATTAGAGATGAGCTTGTGAGCAATGGTGTTGCTTTAGATCAGGGTATGCTTAGTGGTATGAATACTCCTAATCAAGGATTGCTTGCTAAAGTGGTAGACAGGATCAGGCATGTCAGGGCAACTAGTCTTGACACTTAGGCGAGATACTGCTTGCTACTTTCTGCTTTTGTTTTGGATTACATGTGAGGTTTATTCTGTTTTACCTGTTACTTTGTTTGTTTGTGTGTGAGCCTCCTGGCTCGTCTGGGCCTTACGAGCCATGGAGCTTGTAACAACTCACTCACTCACTCACTCACTCACTCACACAAAAAGGCACGCCGTCCATATCAGCAACCCTACAAAATCACACGAATAGCACAGCAGGCAAGCAGCTGAGACACCCCTTGGAATGACCAGAGGACATTGGGGATTCAGACATCAAGGGGTTACATCGTGTTCGGGTGGTTGGCTGGAACACGCAAAGCAAAAGGTCGCACGTTGCTTGACTCTATGGTACCGTCATGGTCACCACAGGGGCTTTGGGAAATGTGCCTACCTCTAGTGTGGGGAACAGCCTTGAGATGAGATGGATATGTACGGAGATGAGCGGCACGCCAACATACTGCTGACAATGAATGAGCGATTGCTACAATATGAAGCTGCACAAAAGTTTAGATCTAACGACATGTCGTGTGGTGGGGCATCAGCCTTGAGACCCATAGGACAAGTCCCGCAGTAGCTCAACGCAGCAGTATTAATTATGTGACGCCGTTACATCGCCTAAACAACGTTTGGGTCTGACGGGGTTAATGCGTCGGGCGTTGCGGTTGGCCGGTTCTACTTTTGTACGGAAGTGGTGATGAAGCAGCCCGGAAGCAGGAAGCCCAATAGCTTTGAGGTAGTGAAACGTAAAGTTAAGGTTGACCCACTTGTTCTCGAGATGTACATTTGTAAACCACAGCCTTCTCGGGAAACTTACTTTGACCTCTGACTTTACCTTTTACGAACGGGCCCTAGCACCCAGTTAGCTGGTTAGATAATGTTGACGAAATTGTGTAAAGTTTAGAAGGCAAAAGCTGTCCAGCGGCCTCGGGAGCTATCACCGCGACTCGGACACCTTGGGAGCAGCAGCAGCAATTTAGTCACCCCGGCCGCTCCGTCACAATTCTTTATTAGGACACCTTGGAGCGCGTTAATGCAACAGCTACGTCTCTCACTCTTGGGCCGCTGACCCGGCAACCAAGGATGTCGTCGGCTATCGCCTGCTGCGAAGCTGGCCCTGGCGAGAGATTGCCTAGACACTGTAGCTTTTCTGCTTCTATACTCCAAAACAATCTTTTAGGGTTAGCAGATGCTTGGGAGGACCTTGGCGACAATGGGCATCGGCAGCAGCATCCAGAATGCCGTGCAAGCAACTACAGCGTGCCGTTCTGCTCCAAGAGCACGAGCAGCAACAGCAGCAGCATGGCGTGTACAACGTGCTGTCATGCTTCAAATGTGCACAAGGTGCCCAACGCTCGGCTAACCGCTGCGCGACTTGGGCCGTGTGAGGGAGCAACCCTTACAAATGTCGGCCATGTAGCCCTCCCAAACCATAACGACAGCGACGGATTGTCGCACAGCAGCAGCAGTAGTCACCTCCAAGGCAAGCCACCATCTCAGCCACAGTCGAAGCAGCAACGTAGCTCCAAGCAGCCTCCATCCCCAAGCACTTCCGCCTCTCCACAACGCCCGCCTCCACACCTCCCCTCCCCCAGTACCACCACCACGCTCCTCACCCTCCTCACCACCCTCCTCCTCCAAGCCTCCATCCCATCCTTTTGTACGGCACAAACCTACTCCGCCTCCGTCGACATGTACAGCACTCCATTCCGCTTCAACATCACCGCACACTGTCCCGTACTGCTGTACAGCATCCTGCTACAGCTGCCGTACAGGCCTTCACGCCTCACATGTGACGTACTTGCCGACGGGGCGCAGCTCAGTGCGACCATGCAATACCCCCAGGCGGCAGGCCTGCAGGACCTGATGAGTCGGTTGGATAACGGAACCAACTGGCAGCGGGCTGAGTCATTGCTACAGCCGTCCTGCGGTTGGGGTGCCGCAGTGGTAGTCACGGCGGGGGCAGACGCAGCAGCAGCTGGCAGCAGCGGCAGCGTTGTGCCGCCGAGTGAGATCTACGTGTGTACGGCACTCGGATCCTTCACGCCCAACTCGCCAGTTGGCCAACTACCCGACAAAGCCTGTACGGCAGAGGTACGACAGCCACAAGGCGTCTGTCCCTCCCCGCCGCCGTCTCCACCGTCACCGCCGCCCCGGCCTCCGTCACCGCCGCCGCCATCACCTCGGCCTCCGTCACCGCTGCCGCCGCCGCCACCCTCACCTAGCCCGCCGCCATCACCCAGCCCGCCCCCACCTCCCTCCCCACCTCCTCCTGCACCCCCTCCCCGTCCGCCTGCTCCTCCCTCTCCCTCTCCACCACCTCCGAAACCCGCCCAGCTGCAGCTAACGGTGTACCTGCCCGCTTGGACCTCCGCCGCTGACCTGGCCGACGCCGGAGTGGACTGTGGCTCGTTGATGACGGCATTTGAGGCGGTTAGCAGTTTCGTGACCGTTGGGGGTAACGGCCTTCTGGACGGCCCAGGCAGCTGCGGAGTGCTGCCGGCGGGCAGCAGCGGCTCGGCATTCTGGATCCAGGTGGGGGAAGAGAACTGTGATTGTAACAAAGTTGGGATACTTTGGGGAGCTACCTTGACGGGTTAATTCGCGTCCTGCGCATGCTTATTAAGCGAAGGTGCGTGTCGCACGTTCGTCCCTGTTGCCCTGTCCCTAAAGCCCCCCCTCCCGTCCCTTCCTCCTGACCGCAGGCCACCGCCTACTCGCAACCCACCGCCGCCACCATCGCCTCCGCCCTAACCGTGTCTCCCATCCTCCTCACCACCGTCGCGGGGCTGCCGTGCGGCTGCTCCCTCAGCGTATCGTACGACAGCTCTACGGCAACCCGCGTCGCCTGCCCGTACGACGCCGCCGCCACGCTGACGGCGACGTCAGATGTGTCGTACGTGTACGACAAAGACCTCTGCTGCCCCAGCCCGCCGCCCCCGCCGTCACCCTTGCCGCCGCCTCCCAGTCCCCGCCCGCCCAGCCCGTCGCCGCCGCCATCGCCGTCACCTCCACCGCCGCCGCGGCCTAGCCCGCCGCCGCCACCCTCGCCGTCACCTCCACCGCCGCCACGGCCTAGACCGCCGCCGCCATCCTCACCGCCGCCGGTACCCCGCCCGCCGCCGCCGCCAGGGTTGCCGCCGCCGCCAAGCCGCCCCCCCGTGTCGCCCTCTCCGCCGCCGCCGCCGCTCCAGCCACCCACGTCTCCTTCACCGCCTCCGCCGCCACCTCCACCCCGCAGTCCCCCGCCGCCGCCGCCCCCCAGATCCCCGTCACCACCTCCTCCCAGCCCTTCTCCACTGCCACCACTTGCCCCGCTGCCTCCCAACCCGCCGCCACCGAATCGCCCGCCGTCACCACCGCCGCCGCTAAGTCCCCAGCCCCCCAGCCCGTCGCCACCCCCGCCGACGCCAAGCCCGCCGCCGCCGCCTACTCCGCTACGACCACCTCTCTCACCTCCACCCCGTCCGCCGCCGCCGCCACCCTCGCCGCCTCCCAACAAGCCGCCCAGCAGCCCTTCCCTTGCCGACACAACCACCGCTCCCCCGCTGAAACGAAACCCCCGCCCGCCGCCGCCGTCACCACCCTCTCCTATACCGCCGTCACCGCGGCCCCCTCCACCCCTGCCACCCTCTCCGGCTCCCTCCCTGCCGCCGGCGCCGCCTCCAAAGAAGAAGCGGCCCCCGCCGCCGCTGCCGCCGTCAAGCCCCAGGCCGCCCAGCCCTAGGCCGCCCGTACCGCCGCCGCGCAAGAAGAAGAGCCCTCCGCCCCAGGCCTAGCGCACGGAGCTGTGTGTTTTGAGGGCAAGTACATAAGAGGTGCCGTACCCGGGCCGTACGTAAGATACGAGAGGGGCTGAACTTGTGTAAGTGTGGGTCGCTTGGAGCGTGATGCAGCAATGGCGTCGAGGGGGCATGTGTTTATAGGACCATGCAGAAGCATGTAATGTGACCGCCGGTGGACGAGGAACGCGGAGCAGGTACAAAGCTCTAGTACTGTGGTGGGTCAGTGGCTGTCTATCCCACGATGTAGGTCCACTGCTTTGCGTTTGCTTTGTGTGCAACAAGTGCTGCCATCGTGTGTCTGCGTTTGCACAATGTGACTACCGGAATGCCGCCAGATGGAATGGGAACAAACGCCGACCCAGAGGGATCCTAGTGCCCAGAGGCCCATTGCAGCCACACTGCTGCTAAGGCTGTTGTTGAGTTGTTATTGTCACAAACTTTGGCGCGGCGTGTCTTGGGCTGGACTTAACGTCCCGGACAGCCGGGCGCCTGTTTAATGTTGCAATCACCGGTGGGGAGTCGCGTCCGCCAGTCATGGGCTCATGGCAGTTGGTTTGGGACCTGGGGTTTTGCAGGCCAGAGCACAGGAGTGCTGGTCCGGCCTGCTGCTTTGAGAGTTGCATCCTGGTAAACTGAGATTGTTCAACTGGAGTCGTGGGCTTATATCCAGTCGGCACTCGGTGCAGGTGGGCGGGAAGGATGCGGCACACAGCTTTCGTGATTGCCTGCTTGGCCCAGCTGGGTACCGGTATGGGAACACAGCTGTAATTAGAATGAACGCACGTGAGCCTGCCATGGATGGATCGCACGTGAGCCTGCCAGCGCACAGCTGACTTCGTCTGGGAGCCTAGGCTAGTGGAGCACCTAGGGAGGGGGCGCGCTGCAGCATGAACTGCAGCAGAGCAGTATTACCCAAAACAATTCGTTCAGACAGGTTAGGGTTCGGACGTAACCACTGTAGGGGTTAGTTTGGGGCACCGCAGGTATCGACCATTGATAAACAAAACGTGTAAACGTTCCCGTAATGGCAAGCCCCCGGGCATTGTTAGTACCAATGGTTGGACCAGCCCCGGCGGAAAGGTAGCAATGTGGGTTGACATGTCGAGGACAAACCCAAAGCATTAGGCAAAATAGACGTCCGCTGTGTGTCCTGAAAGTGGTTATAATTGTGTCGTGCTGCAATCTTACGGGCTGCAGCCAAAGATGGTCAGTCACCCTGTTGCGGACGTCAGCATTATGTAGTTTTCGTGCCTATTAGGCGAGACCCCGCTATATATGCGTATGTAAACACAATAGTGCTCATAATTAATATCTACATTTAACTAACAACAACGCAACAATTTTCTGGGTTACATAGACGTCGCTTGCAGCCGTCGTAGTAGTGTCTTCGTAAGCCTTCTAGGACTCCTGGTGCCGAGTACCTTTCAAGCTCGCCAGCAGTAGTATCTTACAACTTCGTTTGTATTTATATTTCGGACAGTCCCTAAGCAGCGGCTGGGAATTCAGGCACGAAGGATGAGGCAGAAATCCATGTGCCAAGCCCGCGGGCCTAAGACGCGAGTTATAGCATGGCAGCGACGGTCAACCTGCCTTACAACGGTGAGGGCTGCAGTCGTATCAGCTGCTCCAGAAGCCGAACGCAAGGCTAAGAGTACTGGTACCGTCAGCCACAGCAACAACACGCAGCAGTCGCCGCGTGGTTACGAGGACGCTATTATGCTTCAAGGTATGTAGAGCTTGAAGCATTGGCTAGACGCCGCGTGTAGCGTGGCCCCGCCGGCATTGCCCTTAGCTGCGCTACATCCTCACATGCACTTTTACATTGCAGGTTTTGCCTGGGACTCTTGCCTCCAAAACAATTGGTACGGCACGGTGCAGAGCAAGATACCTGACATGCAGGTAGGCGATGTAGGCGAAAAAAGCTGTCGATTGTGCAGTCCACCGCTACCCAAGGAGGTTCCATGTGCCTTCCTGAATGTCTTTCTCCACCTCTGTAACACACTTCCTGCCCACCTCCAGGCGGCCGGCATCTCCCACGTCTGGCTGCCACCTCCATCTCAGAGCGTCTCGCCACAGGTTAGTATAGGAGCAAGGCAGAGCAGGGGGGAAAAGGCAAAACCACCAATGGACGGCCATGGTCTAGTTGCTAACCCCAGGTCAACCGCACGCTCCACGTGTGTTGCTGTCCCGTAGTTGCAGCTGCAGTCAACACTGTCCCTTCCAGCAACCTCGCTTCTCCCCCTCCACTTCCCACCTTCCCCCCCACCCCTCCTCCCCCCTCCCTCCCCCGCCCCTCCTCCCCCCAGGGCTACATGCCCGGCCAGCTGTACAATCTGAGCAGCAGGTACGGCAACAAGGAGCAGCTGACGGCGCTGACGCAAGCGCTGGGGCGGGCCGGCATGCAGGCCCTCGCGGACATCGTCATCAACCACAGGTGGGGGAGGTGTGGATGTGCTTGGGAGTTGGGGGATGGGTGGGTTGGGTGGGGGGCGCAGGAGGGGAGGAAAGGAGGAAAAAGTATATAAGAAATGCAAACAACTAGAGTCCCAATCCCATATCCCGACTCATGCAGTGAGTGCATTCGGAAAGGAAAGGAGGGAGGCAGGTGTGGGAGAGATGGGGGGCAGGGAGGGAGGAGATACCATGTTTGTTGACCTGCCCGTCTGCCTGTCCGACCGGCTTGCGACCTGTTACGTTGTTGCGGTGCTGCGGTGCTGCTGCTGCTGCTGTGGTGCAGGTGTGCGGATGAGATGGAGGGCGGGGTGTACAACCGCTTCCGGGACGATGTCAAACATACGGTGAGGCGGGGGGCAAGGGGGAGGGGGTTAACGCTAAGAGAAGTAGTTTCTATCAGGAAACCCCGCTTCCTCCCCCAAGCCTCCCTCGCCTGCCTCCTCCCTCCCCTGCTTCCTCCCTGCCCCCTCCCTCAGGGCCGGCGTATCGACTGGGGCCGGTGGGCCATCACCTGCAACGACCCGGCCTTCAAGGGCTCGGGCAACCCGGACACGGGTGAGGCAGGGGGGCAGGGAGGGAGCGGAGGCAGGGAGCCAGGGAGGCAGGGAGTGGACGAGGAGGGACTGGACGAGGAGGGCGGAAGGCGGCACAAGCCGCCTCGCTGCCTTCCTTGCTTGCCGCCGTGCTTGCTGCCAGCAGCAGCGGGAGACTGTCCACCGCGTTGCGTCCATCCTCTCACCACTTGCTCAATGCCTCTCGCACCTCCCGCACCTGCACCGCCGGCGGCTCCCATCCTTTGCGCTAACCTGTGGTCCTGGTATACCTCTGGCCCCCCCCAGGTGACGACTTCGGCCCCGCCCCCGATTTGGACCACGCCAACCCCGAGCTGCGCGCCAGCCTGGCGGACTGGCTGGGGTGGCTGCAGCGGGAGGTTGGGTTCGCGGGCTGGCGGCTGGACTTTGCGAGGGGGTGAGGGATGGGCGGGGGAGGGGAGGGAGGAAGGCAGGAAGGGGGAAAATGGTATAAGCAAATCTGTGCTCAAGACACAGCGTCTATGACAGCTCCCACGCGTCCCGAACCTCCACCACCTCCCTTCCATGGCCTCCTCACCCCTCACCCTCACCACCCACCCATTCCCTCACCACCCCCCCTGACCCCGCCCCTCACCACCACCCCTCAGCTACGCAGCCCGCTATGCCGGCGAGTACGTGGCTGCTAGCACGGGTCCGCAGCAGCTCAACGTGGGGGAGGTGTGGGTCGACCTGGCGTGGAGCGGACCCGACCTGCAGCACAACCAGGACGCGGCGCGGCAGCGCATCTGTGACTGGATCAGGGGAACGGGAGAGAGGTACGGGATGGGGCGGGGTGGGTAGGGATGGGGTGGGGTAAGAAGAGGAAACGGGCGAGCTGTATGATGAGGCTTGACCATGGGGTGCTAGTGTGCTATGTTGGGTCGGGGGGGGGGTCGGGGCGCTATGGGTTGGGCGGAGAGGTAGGAAGGCAGGAAGTGGTGGCGCGCTGTACGGCAGAGGAGGTGCTGGGAGGGGTGGGCAGGAGGATAAAACGAGCGAAAAGCACCCGTTGGTTCAAGCTGCACAGCCCTGGACTGACCTCAACGTGCCCCCGTGCTTGTGCTCCGCCGTGTTGCTGCTGCTGCTGCTGTGCAGCTGCTGCGCCTTCGACTTCCCCACCAAGGGGCTCCTGCAGGAGGCGGTGAAGCACACGCAGTACCAGCGGCTGAGGGACGGACAGGTGGGGGGGAGGGGGAGGGGGGGGCTGTACCGTAGCTTTAGCCATCGACACATGCTGCTGCTCTCACGTTTGGGGGCTGCTTTCGCTTAGTGTCGCACGGTAACAACCCCCATTGTCCTACCTCTTGCCATCCCTACCCGCACCTCCACCCCCTGCTCGCCTCGCCCCACCCTGCCACCTTGACCCATGCACCCCCCCTCCCCTCCCGCCTCACCCCCCTCACCCCCTCCCCTCCCCTCCCACAGGGCAAGGCCCCCGGTCTGCTGGGCTGGTGGCCCGCCCGCTCTGTGAGCTTCATCGAGAACCACGACACGGGCAGCACGCAGCAGCACTGGCCCTTCCCGGCAGACAAGGTGGCGGTGGGGTACGCCTACATACTGACACACCCAGGTATCGGGCTACAGTGGTCACCTAGGTCTAACTAATTCCCAACCGCTCCTTAAGTCTTAACTGCTTTCCTAGATAACCTGCTTTCCCGCCTGTCTCCACCTGCGCCCGTCCCCGCGCAACCTTACACACCCGGGGGGTACCCGAGCTATGAGTACCGTACTTACTCCCCTAACCCGCTTCCCTCCTGCCTCCACCTCCACCTACTCCGTCCGCCCGTCCACCCATCCGGCCCCTCAGGCATCCCCTGCATCTTCTGGGACCACTTTGCCAGCTGGGGTGAGGAGCTGCACCGGGTCATCACGGGCCTGGCACTGCTGCGGCGCCGCGCAGGCATCCATGCAGGCAGCCGACTGGAGGTACTCGCGGCAGAACCAGACATGTATGTTGCGCGGGTCGGGGGCAGTTTGACGGTGAAGCTGGGGCCGAGATACGACATGGGGGCTGGGCTGCTGCCGCGGGAGGGGGAGGGCTGGCGGCTGGCGCTGTCAGGCAGGGACTGGGCGGTGTGGGAGCGGGTGGGCGGCAGCAGCAGCAGCGGGAGGCAGTAGCGGGCAGTAGCTACTAAGGGGCGTGTGTGCTGCTTTGGGATGGAGTTGGAGTTAGAGCTTGAGGCGCTTACGGCGCATGTGCTGCACTGTGACTCCTTTTATAGGCGAACGTTTATGGCGGCGTGGATGAAACTGTTTTTACGAGCGTGTACCCTGGCGTATGGATGTTTATTTAGGGCGGCGTGTGCCGGTGTATATTGGCTCATGTTACATTATATACACCGGTATAGCGTACCATACACAACCTCCGTGACGTCACGAGCACCAAGTGCATGTACGTTGGTGCCTTGCTCTCGTGATCTAACTTCCCGGTATTTTGCATGAGCGCTTGAGCGGACATGTGGCGCATGTCGATTACCTCCACGATGTCTAGCGTGGGAAACTGCGCTGCGCTGCGCTTAAACCTATGTATCTTACTAATGCTGCTGCGAGCGGGATTGAGAGCGATGTATGTTCTTAGGTTGTTGTGTGATATGGTGTGCCTTGTCCACATATGATCTACGTTTCGTGATCTGTCAACTTGGATTCAATACCACTACCATACTTGGGTAGGGTATCATACCTGGATCCAAATGCATTGCATGAGCTTGTATCTTTGTCGTACCTGATCTTGCATGCGCGCGTGTGTGTTTTCAGTCAAGACTGAGCCGGGGGGGGGAACCCGAACCTGTGATTGTGTTCTTGTCGTGTTCCTAGCTCTATATATACACTGTTGATGGTTTCATGGATGGAACGCCGTCGTATGCCAGGAAATGAACAACTTGATATGAAACCCGATTGCTATGAACGTCCGTACAGGAACGGTGACGGTTAATGGAACTTGTCGTGATCTCGAATCTTCCGTACTTGGCACTCATACATTTTAAACCCTTTAGAAGTAGCGGGGTGATTTCTAATGACGGCATGGCAGATGGCACGGACAATGCACACACATGCGTTGCCCCTGTGTTGTGTTGCCTGCGCCGATATGCGTGGCGCAGGCCGAGATGTCGTTGCTGTGGGTTGGCGTGATTCGGGTGGTGGGGGTGCCAGCGTGCTACCCAACTTATCTCTGGCTGGGGGCTTGCTGGGTTTTGGGTGCTTACGCAAACATACGTTGCGTACATACGTAGCGTGCCCCATGCAAAGCCGATTTGCTGGTAGTGATTAACAGTATACGGATGATGTTACATGGTGGGCCCTATGAGGGCTGTCACAGACCAACGAGACGGTGTTGGAGTGAGCGCTTAAGAGTCAAGCCGAAGTTGGTTTCAGATGAAGCCGCTTTGGGACTTCCCGTCGTGAGTGGTTGGTTGTTGCTGACCGAGGGCTGCAGAGGAGTTAGCAGAGGCAGTTGGCACACTCGAACTGAGCGTGAACGCCCGGAACAACAACAGCAGCAGTATATGGTTGTGTATCCGTGAGCTGCTGAGCGCTTCTCGTGATGTAATACAACAGCTTCACAGCAACGACGTGTCATAGTGACTGCAAGCTCCACAGAGGCCACAAGGGAGGGGGAAGGGAAACGCCATCGGACCTAGGCCTGAGCAAAGACGCATGAGCTTGGGCAAGGCGGTAAGGGTTAAAGTGGCCGATACCACTGGCATCTGCATACGCTGCGTAGGAAGGCGCAGCTTCGGTTTGGAGGTGGCGTTAAGGCAGCCCCCTTGTGATTTGTGGGGGGTCCAGCCAGAATACAGTTTGTGCATGGCTCCGTCGTACCGTGCATTACTCAGCATATGTCTTGCAAGCAGTTTTCGCGCTTTGTGGTCTTGTTGTATACACACTGATGAAGTATGTATTATTGCGCACACACTTCCGTAGATTGGAGGACTGCGTTGTTAGTGCCTGCGGCCAACCTCCTCGGTCCTGGCGCCATCCGAACTTCAGGGGCACCTTTGCAACAATGATTTCTCGCGATACACATAGAGTTACTTTCATGCTACGCACATCTTATATAATCATGTAGTGAAGTTGACCTTGACTTGCATCGTTGATAACCAGAAGCGTTAAAAAATGCAAGTGCAAGACCATGTTGGCATCTACCAGGTGCCCGAGGCACTGGACTGTATCAAATGGTCGCAAGACAACCTTTTGGCGGTCGCAGCGGGCCAGTCCATTACGATTTTCAATCCCGCAGTTCTTGGCGGTCCGCGGGCTTTTGCGCCTCTTCGCTCTGTAGACTTGTCGGCAGTTGCACCTGGCTTCCGTCCAAAGGACTGGCTGGACTCGGCGCAGTTTGCGATGTCGGCTGTTCATGAGGTCAATTTGAAGAACCCTGTTTCAGACCAGTCATGGCGCGCCATCGCTTGGTCTCCTATGGGATGCACTTCCTCGGGAGGCTGTTTGCTCGCTGCCTTGTCTCCAGACTTCAAGGTGAGCCACATCAGGTGCCGGATGGTGCCCCATCGCCTCCATGCCTGATCGCCACGATTACATCTTTCCTTCCGGCTTTCCACGCCAACTGCCTTTGAAACCATCCTCTCCTTGCACAACTGCAGGTGCGGTTGCTGGGTCCACCCTCCGGCTCCCTCAGCAGCACCTGGCGGGAGGTGGTGGACGTCACGGAGCTGCTGCGGGCGCACATGGCGGCCACGGGGTGGCAGGTGAGCTGCGAGAGCTCACGTAGGAGAGCTAGTAGCTACCAGGGATAGTAGCAGCGAGTTGGCAGCACACGCATGCGTCGCGGTCTGGCCTCATTCACCTCTGCTTTCCTTACCCCCCCCCCCTCCCACAACACCCCACATGCCGCCCACAGGAAATCGACAGCCTGGCGGGTTGCGGGCGCACAGCTGCTCAGTCCAGCGCACTACTGCGGCTGCGAGGCGGCTGCCCCTCGCCCCTCAAGGATCACATGCGCCTGGGCCCGCAGGAGCAGCTGCAGCAGCAGGGGCCGCAGCAGCAGCAGTACGAGGGCCCAGCTGCTGCATGGCACCCGGGCGGCCCAGAATCCTTGCTTGAAACCGCCGCCGGACGAGCCGCCGGCGACGAAGCGGTGCTTCGGCTCAGAGGCGGTGCACGCAGTAAGCGCAAGACACCGGCACGGGGCTCTGGCGCCGCCGCTGCAGCTGAAGGAGTGGTGGCTGCAAACAATGGTGAAGCTGCTGCTGCTGCTGCGGAGGCTGCTGCAGGCGAAGGCACAGGGACCGGGGCTGCTGCCGGAGCTGCTCAGGCAGCACCGGATCAGTCTGCGGAGGGCATCAAAGCAGAGGCAGCTTCCCCTTCCTCCTCCCCGACAGGCGCCAAGCCCGGGGTAGTGCTGGCGGCTCTGGCCTCAGCGGCGGCAGCCACCGCGGCAGCATGCGGGCGGGTGGTCACGGCAGTAGCAGCAAGGCTGGGGGCGAGTCCGGGACACGGTGCGACTACTGCTACCGGGGCTACCGCTGCTGAGAACACAATGGCCGCGGAGGATGCGCCGCCGGCAAAACGCCCTAGGCGGGAGTCGGCTGCTGCCAGCAAAGCTGCTGCTGCGGCCGCTACTGCTCCTGCTGCTGCGGCGGCTGGGCCTTCCACCGCCGCAGCCGCTGCTGGCATCGCGGGGGGCGGTGAGGTTGCAGTGAAGGTGGAGAACGGCGCTGACGGCTCGGGAGCAGCAGCGGTGGGGGCAGCGGGCTCCAGCGGCGGTGTTGCGGGTGGTGGAGAGGCGGCTGGGCGGGGCCGAGGCGGCAGGTCGCAGCCGGCAGCTGCCGCGGGCCTGTCTCGGCGGCTGGGGGGGCTGCATGCGGCGCCGGTTCGGGGCGGGGCGGCGCAGCGGGGGCCACAGGTGCAGCTGCGGGAGGGAGATGCGGTGGAGGTGAGTGACGCGGCGGGGGAGGGGAGGGACGGCTCCGCATCACCCCCATGCAAATCCCTTTCCCTCCCCCTGCCTTCGCCCCTTTCGCAGGTTCACAACGCGGAGGAGGGGCTGGTGGGCGGCTGGTTCCCCGCGCGGCTGGTGCAGCTGGCGGACCCGCAGGTCGGGTACGGCCTGGTGGAGTACGAGGAGCTGCAGGTGGGGTGGAGGGCGGGGGAAGGGGGGAGGTAGGGAGGGGCATCAAGTACCGTAGCGGGGCTTGGCTGCCCAACCCTTGCCGTCTGGCCCCATTTACCTCTTCTCCTCTTGCCTCCCTGCTTATCTTCCCGCTCCTCCTCGCTTCCCACCACCCCCCAGGTCAGCGAGGAGCCCGGCGCCCCCAAGCTGTCCGAGTGGTTCCCGCTGCCTGGCTGCCCCCGCCTGCTGAACCCCTCAGCCGCACGCAACGCGCTCCCACCCCCACCCGGGGTGCCGGGCGCGGAGCAGCAGCAGCAGCAACGGCCAGTGCACTGCAGGCGGGGGTACGCGGTGCGCCCCGTGCCGCCCGCCCAGCTGGCCGCCAGCCCGGTGTCTCCGCCGCTGCGGCTGGGCATGTTGGTGGACGTGTACCATGAAGGCGCCTGGTGGACGGCGCAGCTGCTGGCGGTGACCGGGCCGCAGCAGCGGGTGCAGGCGGCGGCACTGGGGCCGGCAGCAGCAGCGGCTGCAGGACCCGCCGCAGGAGCTGGGGGGGTTGCTTCTGCAGCGCCAGAGGCCGCTGCTGGGGGGCAGGCAGGCGACAGCGCCGCTGCTGTTGCGGCGGCGGCGGCTGCGGGTCCCAGTAACAGGGACGGTAGCAATGGTGGTAGCAGCAGCAGCGGGTGCGGTGTGCTGCTGCATGTCCAGTTGCTGGACGCATCAGAGCGATTGATGGTGCCCCTGGAGCGCTCCCGGGCTGCGGTGGTGTGGGAGGAGAGCAGGGCGAGCTGGAGCCTGGCGCCACCGCCGGCGCTGCCCCGAGGAGAGGCAGCGGAGACGGGTGGGTGGGTGGGTGCGTGAGGAGCGTGTTTACTGAAAGTGGGCTGAGTTCTTCTTGCAACACCGCTCGGCCCGACCTTCTCTCAGGGTCCCCCCCCCCGCATGAACACTTGTTATCTGCTCCTCAAGCTGTTTTTCCTTACCCTGATCTGCCCTGATCGCTATAAACGACCACCGCCAGCCCCCTCACATGACTCCCTTCTCCTGCCTCCTGCCCGCTCCCTCCCTCAGTCCGTCCCTCCCACTACCGGGACGTGGTGCTACTGGAGGGGGGCGACGCAGCCGCTGCCACCCTGGGTCCGCTGTTTGCACGGAGGGTACGGCAGGTCCGGGAACAGCAGCAGCAGGCGGAGGGAGAGAGAGCGGCGGCGGCAGCGGTGAAGCAGGAGGAGGGCGGGGAGGCGACTGCTTGGGTGGCGGCGGTGGAGACGGCGGGACGAGAGATGGTGGGTGTGGGCTTGGCGGCACTGCTCGTGTAGGGGAGGAGAAGGCGGAGGGTGCTGACCTGCGTCGTGAGCGGCAGGACTGATAGCTTGCTGATCCCCACCCTGCTGCCCGCTGCGTCACCGAGTTAGTAACTCTGTAACCGTCTGCCCTGACCCACTGTCCCCAACCCCACGGCGCCGCCAAACACACCTCCCATCACACACTCCCCTTCCTCCGCAGCTGCGTGCCTTCGCCCCGGAGTTCCTGCTGTTGCGGCTGGACGGTCCCTGGCTGTGGGGCGCAGTGCGGGGGGCGCTACGGGGGGAGCTGGCGGGGGCGGCAGGAGAGGCGGGAGCAGGAGGAGGAGCAGCAGCAACAGCGGCCGGGGGTGTCCAATCGTCGCGGCTTGCTGAGCTAGTGGTGAGCAACACACCCTCATGGGCTCGGCAGCAGCAGAAGCAGCAGGAGCAACCACAGCAGCAGAAGCAGAAGCAGGGCAGGAAGGGAGCAACGCCGGGCGGCACAACCGGGGCGGCAGGGGCGGGGGCGGCTCCCCGGAAGGGGCCGGGGGCTGCGGCCGGGAGGGGCCGGGCGGGGGCGGCGGAGGCAGGCGTGAAGGAGGCGGCGGCCGCAAGGTACGTGGGTGCGGTTGCTGCTGGGAAGAGCTCCATATCACAAATGTGTGTCAGGGTCCCAGGGACATGCATGTGTCAGAAGGCATGGCTCGCGCAACACGCCCTAAGCGCTCCTCGTGCTGCTCCCGGTATGTGTGTGCATGCAGGTCCCCTCGCAAGTCCACTGCAAGGGCGGCAGGCGGCCGCTGCAGCAGCCGGGCCGTCAAGCCAGAGGAGGGGGAGGAGCTTGCGGGCGAGCAGCCGCCGGAGCAGCAGGCCGGGTCCCAGCAGCAACCGCAGAAGCCACAGCAGCTGGAGAATGGGGAAGAGGCGGCAGCGGCAGCGGCGGGCGGGGCCGGCAGGGGCACTGGGGCCAAGCGGCGCCGCACGCAGGGCGAGGGGGCGGAGGCCGGCGGCCGGGAGGAGGAGGAGGATGCGGCGGCGGCGGAGGGAGCTGGGGAGCGTGGGGAGGGGGGAAAGACCAAGGCTGGCAAAAGGTAATGGTGTGGGGAGTGGGGGCAGTGCGGGGGTTGGAGGCTGCTGTCCTCTGCGCGGGCTACGGGTGCCGGCGGTTTGGTGGTTTGGAAGGGCGGGGGGCGGTAAGCGCCCGTGTGTATCGCTCATTATCTGCTGACACATGTGCGCAAAGCATGCGCCCTCCCGCTTAGCCAGGAGCTGGTAAGCCTGTCCCGCTAACCCCGCATAAACACGTCAACTCCTCCCCCCCCCTCCCTGGACTCCTCTTCTCTCCCCTCCGCAGCACCGGCAAGAAGCCCCCCACCGCTCGCCGCAGTCGGGGAGGAGCCGCGGGCGCTGCTGCTGCTGCTGCTGCTGGCGGCGGTGCTGAGGGTGTTGCTGTGAAGCAGGAGGAGGAAGAGGGAGGCGCCGAGCAGGCGGCCCCGCGCGACTTCTCCGGCACCGACCCCGAGCTGTTCCGACAGTACGACACACGTCCGGATCCCGAGGAGGGCGGGGCGTCGTTGGATAAGGCGGGGCCGGGTATGATTGTCAAGAGGTGGCAGGCGCTGCTGTCCTCGCTCCCCGCCTCCAGCCTGCGCACCTACGCACCCGGAGAGCGCATGGGCGGCTGCGAGCTGAGCTCGTACGATCAGGCGTACGGCGAGTTCATACACCTGTACGGCAGCAAACTGCCGGCGGGGGCAGGTGGGGGGCCGGGTGGGGCGGGGTGGGGTTAGTGCCGGTATGCTGCTGTCATTTCTCGAGCTTCAAACGCATCCAAACCGTCTTGCCGTCATCTCGATCGGTGATGTCGCGCCCCCTCCTCCTCATCCTCCTTCCCGGACCCTTCTCTGCATAGTTCTCTTCTCTACATCTTTACCTTTTTCCTTCCTTACTCCTTCCTACTTCCTCCCTCCTCCCTGCCCCTCCACGCAGCCAAACGCATCCTGGTGGAGGCCAAGCGACGAGTGCGGCTGCTGGTGCGCACGCCCCCCACCGCCGCCTGCACCCCCGCAGCCACACACAAGACATCAGCAGCCCAGGACGACAACAACACCGCCGCCGCCACCGCTCCCGCCTCCCACCCCTCGGGCCGTGCCGCACGTGCCGCAGCTCTGCGAGCCGTAGCAGCCTCGCGGGAGCATCTGACCCGTGGGTCGTTCAGGGACGGTAGCAGCGAAGAAGAGGAGGAGGAGGAGGAGGAGGAGCAGGGGGAGGGCGGCGGGGGTCGGGGGCGGCGGCGTAGCGGTGCTGCGGGGCGGCCGCTGACGTCGGGCAAGGGAGGGGCAGGGGGAGGTAGTGGGAAGCGACGGAGTAAGGCCAAGAAGGAAGAGGAGGAGGAGGAGGGCAGCGAGGGGTCGGCGTTCAGCATGGGGGATGCGGAGGAGGAGGAGGGGTCCAGCGGGGGGGAGTCACTAGAGGTGGAGGAGGAGGAGGAGGGCAGCCAGCAGGAGGAGGAGGAAGAGGAGGGCAGCGACTTGATGATGGATGAGGATGAAGGAGGCGGCGGAGGAGGAAGCGCGTCAAAGTAAGTGCCTGGTATGTGGGTATAACGGTATGTGGGTTATCTACTAGGCGTGAGTGATCCTGGCGAACCTAATATAGGCGATATGGATGTAAGAAGCGGGCTATGCTCGCTAAACAGCCCTCCTGACAACCCACCACCACCCCCCAACTGTGTATTCCTCTCTCCCCACCCACCCCTCCTTCCCAACCCTCCCACTCCCCCATTCAGACGCGGCCGGGGCGGCCGAAACGGCGGCCGCAGCAGCAGCGCTGCTCGCGGCTCTGGCGGCGCCCGTGCCGCTGCTGCTGCTGCGGGTTCTGCTGTCGCCCGCGCGCGCAAGGTGTCCCCCAAGGAGGAGGAGGAGGCCGCTGCCGCCGCCGCCGCGCCTGCCATCTCCGCCGCCACCCCCGCGTTATTCGCGCCGCTGGCCCCCGCGGCGGCCAACTTGGAGGACCCGGTGGCGCTGGTGAAGGCGGGGCCGGGCATGATATTCAAGCGGTGAGGAGGGGCGGGGGGAGGAGGGGAAGGGAAGAGAAGGGAGGGGAAGGGTGGGCGAGGGCAGGGCGTCAATTACCGGTACAAGCGTAGGGGTGAGGGTATGGACCTGCTCGGATGTAGGTCATGCGAAGAAGAAGGAGAAAAAGAGGATCTATCCTGGTCAAGCTCTGGTTAGTCCACACCGTGCTTTCGAGGCCCACAACTCCTCACACCTTCTCCGCACCCTCCTCTCACCCCCACCCCACCCCAGCTCATACCTCATATCCCTCTTCTTACCCCCTCATTTGTGGTTTGGTTTCTCTCTCCGCCCCCCCCCCCTCCCACCAGCTTCCTGAGCCTGCGCGCCCGCACCGACCCCTCCCAGCTGCCCTCCTACGGCCGGCGCGAGCGCATGCGCGGCCCCGACCTGGCCGCATTCGTGCAGGCGTTTGGGGAGTTCATGCAGGCGTTTGGGGCGCTGCTGCCGCAGGGGGCAGGTGAGGAGGGGCGGGGGGAGGGCTGGGCGGGGGGCTAGCATTAGGTACGGCAGTCGGGGCGTGAGGAGGGGAGGAGGTCAGAGAGGAGCCAATCCCTGCCAGCTCCCTTACCCCTACCCCTCCCAGCTTCCTGCTTCCCGCCCTCCCCTCTCTTCCCTCCCTCCAGACAAGAAGCTCAAGGCCTCCACCAAGTGTAACATCCGGCGACTGGTGATCCAGTCCGCTGGCGTGCACAGCACATCGGGGCCGGGGGCGGCTGCGCTGCTGGGGGGAGCGGCAGCAGCGGGCGGGGCGGCGGCGGGGGCGCCAGGTGAGGGGGAGGAGAAAGAGAGGAGGAACACGGGGCTTCCGAGCTATAGGAAGGCGGAAGATGGAGGGCAGTTGGGTTGTAGTTGGGCTTTGCATGATGTATGTGGGGGAGCTGTGTTGTCAGGGGAAAAGACTTTCAGGAGTAGCAGCGGCAGCCATTGTACGTATCAGTGTAGCTCTTCTCGTACTGACTCTTGTAACTGACGGACCGAAGTTGGGCGGCTCCTCTTTATCTTCTTCCCCCCCTCATCTTCCCATTCTTCTTCTCACCTTCCTCCTGCTTCCCCGCCGTCACAGGTTCTGCCGCAGGGTTGTGGTACGGCAAGCGCCGGCTGGGGGTGAGGGAGGCGGCTGGCATACAGGGTGAGCGGCTCCATGTTTGGGTGGGTGGGTGGGTGGGTGGGGGCGGCACTGCGGATGGTGTTTGGCCCTTGTTGCATGCGCTCGTTTCGACAGCCGACGGGTCCAATACCTGGTACCCTACGGGTTACAAACTTTTACAATACGTCTTTCTGATACCACCCATCGCTGCCCCCTTCACGATGCTCTAATTGCCTTGGTCTAATCCGTCCTTCCCTTTCCCTCCTCCGTCAATAACGCTTTGCGGCGCGCCTTCAGGCACGCTGTGTGTGGGCTACGGGGAGGAGGGTGGGGAGGCGGGCGGCGAGGCGGCAGGGGGGGCTGCTGGTGCTGCTGGTGGCGGCCCTGCTGCGAGCGGAGGTCAGCTGGTGGCTGCAGGAGGAGGAGGAGGGGCTGCTGGGGAGGGCGGCGGGCGAGAGATGGTGCTGGCTGGCGGACAGGGCGGGCAGGAGCTGTGGGCGGAGACGGTGGGGGGGGGGTTAGAGGGAACGAATGAGAGAAGGAGCGGTTGTGGGGAGGGGACAAAACTCACAAAAGGGGATCGTGGGTCGTCGGAGGGTGTCCCGTACGCTATGAAGACGAGAGGTACTGTAGAATGCCGCAGCCTCTCGCAGGTGTTCAGTTCTGGCCACATGGGGCGTATGTGGTGTCATATGAGGCAAGAGCAAGCATGCAACAGGGGTATAATAGCCCTTTACGGCCGGACCCCATATACCCTATCCCCCATTTTGAAGGGTGGACCCCTGCGTGTCTGTCCTCCCCTACACCGGTACATCGGTCCCAACCCAGGTTCGCTGCATAGGCCGCCGCACCGGCCTCAAGTACCGTGTTGATGTGAGCTACGGCACCGCAGCAGCAGCAGCAGCTGGCGAAGCGGGAGGGGCAGCGGTGGCGTCGAGGTCCCGAGGCGGGGCGGCAGCTGCTGCTGCTTCTCTGGGGGCGGCGACAGCTCCCTCGTACGCCATCCGGTTCATGGGAATCGTGCGGGACGATCACCGAGTGAGTGACCCGCGGGTCGGCGTTGTTGCTTGCCCCGGGAATTAGGAAGTTTTGGGAAGGCTGTTTACGGGTTTAGAGTAAGTGATAATATTTATTAGGTTATTTAATATTATCACTTACACATCCTGCCAAGCCAACCACTCCTCTTCTACAGCTTAAACTACCACCCCCATATCCATCCTCTCATCCCTCGTCCTTCTCGCCCTCTCTCGTTTCCTTTCCACAGCAAATGTCGCTGTCCATCTGCGAGGCCGGAGTGGGCAGCGGCACCGCCATCCCCACCCCAGCCTACGAGGCCCGCTCCCTCGCCCTCTCGGCCACCTGCATATCCTGGTCACCCGCCTTTTGCACGGCAATCACCTCAGCTGCTGCTACTGCCGCTGCCGCAGCTGCTACTACCAGTGGACAAGATCATCCGCCACCGGCGGAAGTGCTCGCAGCTGCTGCCACTGCTACTGCCGCCACTGCTGCTGCCGCCACTGCTGCTGCTGCTCCGCCGGCTGCTGCCCAACCCGACGGTGTGGCTCGCAGTTGTGTGCTGGCGGTGGCTAACAAGCTGGGGCAGGTGGTCATGTGGCGTCTGGACCTGCCCGCATCCTACTCGCACAAGCAACAACAGCAACAACAGCCGCCTGCGGAGGGTGATGGCAGCGGGAACAGCAGCAGCAGTAGTGGTAGCGGGGTGCGGCTGCACTGGATGGGTGCGCTGCAGGTGCACAGCGGGGGGGCACATGTGCTGCGGACGGCATGGTGTGTGGCGCCGGAGGGAGCTGCAGGAACAGCAACAGCAGCAGCGGGAGCGGGAGCGGGAGCGGAGTGGTGCCAGTGGCGGGTGCCGCAGCCGCACTCCGCCGGGCCGCGGGACAGCATCATGCTGCTGACAGGTGCGGGACCGGCGGGGAGGGGTGCGTGTTGGGTTGTAGCCTGGTGTGTGGTCAACCCAATGTCCTCTTCACATTCTCTGCTGGCCCCCGCGCTTCCACATGTCCCGCCCCTCTTCCTCACATCCAGTTGCCCGTCCTCACCCTGCCGCTATCACCCTCTTACCTACCCCACCCCACCTCTCCGTCACCCCGTCCCAACCCGGCTCCGCAGGCGTGAGCGACGGCTCCATCCTGCTTTGGTCCGCACCCGCCGCCTCCTTCACACGTGCCAGCGACATGACCCTGCTAGCGCAGCTGTGTCCGCCGGACGGCCTGGCGCCCACCTCGCTGGACTGCACCTGGCTGCCACTGAGCAGGGTGCGGCGGGGGGATGACGGTACCGGCTTGCAACACGGTACTGCAGCGGCAGCGGCGGGAGGGGCAGGAGCAGGGGAATCACCGGCTGTGGTAAGCGGCGGCGAGACCCCGAAGCAAAAGCAGCAGCAGCAGCGGAGAAGGAGTCGGCGGCTGGGACAGCAGCAGCAGCAGGCGGCGGAGGTGGAGGTGGAGGAGCAGGGTGCTGCTGGGGAGGCTAACGGAGGTGCCGCACCGATGGACGTAGACGGTGAGGCTAACGGTGGCGATAAGAGGACCGTGCAGCAGCAGCAGCAAGAGGAGGAGGACGAGGAGTGGGATGATGCGACATGGGCCTCAGAAGCCCCCGTAGAGGGACCCATGGGTCGGCGGCTGCTTGTCGCCGCCTCCAAGCCTTGCGGCGCTGTCTTCGTGTGGCGCAGCGGCGTCTGGCGGCGGCCTTCCGGGTGTCATTGGGAAGCAGCCCGAGTCGGCGGCGTCGCTGGCACAGCGGCGGACGGAAAGCATGGAGAGGAGCAGGACGACGGATCTGTGACGGCGGCGGGGCTGGCGGCGGCTTGTACGACAAGCGGCGGCGGCGCCAGCTGCTTGTTGCCCGGAGCGCACGGCACCCACCACGCCAGTGGCGTTGCGCTCGCCGCCGGCAGGCCGCTGGTCGTCTCGGGCGGCGTCGACGGGGCCGTCAAATGCTGGAAGGTTTCGGAGCTGAAGCTTCCGCCGTCGCCGCTGGCGGCGGCGCCGCTGCCGCCGTCGCTGCGGCGACGGCCGCTGGCGCTTGTGTTGACGGAGGTGCCTGACGGCATGCATCGCTTGGATCCATGCAGCGCGGGTCTGCCCGCGTTGTCCCGTCAGGTGCGGACGCTGCCGCTTAGCCGACAAGCCGTACATGGTATTGCCGCCAGCGGCAACGGCCTGGTCTTTGCCGTACTGCGAACCACCTCGCCACGTCAGCTCGACATTGCCAAGAACGTCATGATCCACGGCCGCGTCCTCGGCGGCACCGTACATTTGTTGACGCCGTACGGCATGGGAGTCGAGTCAGCGGCGGCGGCGGCGGATGCCGTGGCGGCGGCGCCACTGGCGCTGCCGCCGCCAGGGCAGCTCGCCGCTGGCTTGTTGTACCAGGCGCCGACGGCGAGCAGCCTGTGGGACGTGCATGCGTTGATGTTGCGGGCGGGTCTAGTTGCGGCGGCGGCGACGCCACCACCTCCCGAGGACGCCTGGGAGGCTAAGGACTTGAGGGAAGCGACGGCGGCGGATGACGCAGCGGCGTTGCAGCAGCTGCAGGGCGGGGTAAGGCGGGGTCAGGGGGAGACGTAGGACTGAAGGGCCGGGTAAGGACTAAGGAGGCTTGGGGGTTTGCCCTGGAGGCGCAATCGCACGTGTCTCATGGGATCGTGGGAACCAGGCCGTGTGGTGGGCGAGATTGCCGTTAGGTGGCGCGGCACACACGGAAGGTTGAAGCAAAACAGTGTCTTCCTCTCGTCTATTTTTCCTAATTAGCATGACCTCCTTGGCGGTATGCCCTCGCCTGCCCTCACCTTATACCCCACTCCACCTCGCCCACCTTATATCCGCGCCTGCAGGACGAGGGCGATGAGGGCGCGGGGGCTGCTGCCGCCGGTGGCGGTGGCGGTGGTGGTGGGGGCGGCATGGACCTGAGTCGGGCCCGGCTGGCAGCACTGGTGCGGCAGGACGCGGAGGAGCGGCGCAGGGCGAGGCTCACAACGTAGGGAGTGGGGGGGGTACTAGGAGGGGTTGGGGGGTTGCGACCCATTGTGGGGCCTACAAAGCCGGGGCGGGCAGGTTTGGGATATGGCCGCTTGGGATCTTCCCGTTAGTTGTTCACAAGCCGGAAAGCTGCCCCGAGCCCCGGACAATAAACCCATTTACTCGCATGCCCTGCCTCCCTCCTCATTACCACATTTCCTTTGTCTTGTGGCACCCTGCCGCCTTAATCCCCCAATATCTTGCCCTGACTCGTGGCGGTTTCACCGGTAGTCTCTGTTGAACCCCCCCAACCCAATCCCCTCCTTACCGCGTCCCCCATGCAGTCGTCTGCAGCACCTGACGGCCGCCGCCATCTCCCTCCAACACCTGGAGCGCTACCTCGCCCCACTGGAGTCACCCTACCTGACTGCAGCCGCTTGCGGCGGCAGCGGCGGCGGCTCGTCTCCTTCCTCCTCCCCCGCTTCCTCCTCCTCCATCTACACCGCCATGCGCGGTCCGCTGGCATGGGGATGGGACGGCCTCCGCTGCGCGACAGCGTTACGTCGCATGGCGCTGGCGTATGCCGCCGCACGAGCGGAGCCCCCAGGCGCCTCGCCGCAAGAGCAGCTCGCGGAGGTCGACCCAGGGGTCATTGCGGCGTTGCGGCAGGCCGGCGGCGCGTCGGCGGCGGCGGTGGAGGCGCCGGGGGTGCTGTCTGCATGCAAGGACGCGGCGGCGCGGAACGAGGTGGAGTTGCTGCAAGCGCACATTTGGAAGACGTTATCGTGCGGGTTGCAGTATTGCGTTGATAGGGTGCCGGCGGATGTCGCGAACAGCGTTGGCGCCGGTGGCAGCGATAGCGGCGTTGGTGGTCCTGCTGCTGCTGGCCCTGCTGCTTCGCTGCACCGGCTGCTGATGAGTGACTGGGTGGTGTTGCATGTACGGCACCCCAAGCTGCGAGATGCGGAGCTGCTGCCGCTGGCGGCACAGGTGTATGTGGAAGCAGGTGGGGGGGTATCAGCTGGGGCGGGGGCGGGAGTGGGGGGTACCGTAAAACCGTACGCAGGGGAGGAAGGGGGGTCTGGGACCTGGTGGAGGAAGAAGTCGATTTGGGTCAACAGATGACAAGAGGTAGCAGAGGCTAGCGGGTGTCTGGGGCCCCACTCTGGGTTCCCACGCGCCCCTTAACACGCTCCCTGCTGCGGCCGCGCGATACCCCCTGCACCACTGTACATGCCCGCATCTCTGGACCCGCCAACCTGGTCGCCCTCTCCTTCTCCCTCACCCATGCTTGCCCCGCCCCTCCGCCTGCACCCCTCGCGCAGGCCTGCGCCCTCCCCTGGACTGCCCCCTGCCCGGCCGCGAGACCTCCCCACTGTCCCCCCTGCCGGTGCCCCTCAGCGGTGCTGGCATGCTAGACAGCGCGGCACTCGCAGAGTGCTGCCTTGGCGGCGGCGGCGGCGGCTCGCCCGGAGGTGCCCCCGCAGCAGGCCATGAGGGGACACAGGGGGCAGGGCAACAGCAGCAGCAACAGCTGACTACTGCGGCTGGGGCTGCAGGAGCAGCAGCAGGGGCAGGCGGTGGTGGTAATGCCGGGGGCGCAGCAGCAGCAGGGGGCGCAGCCGCAGCAAGTCGGCTGGTGTTGGCGGTGCCCCGCTGCGGGGCCACGTTGGTGCTGTGCGAGTCGCTTGACGTGTGGAGCTGTGGGGTGTGTGCACGCAGGTGGGTGGGTGGGGAGGCATGGGAGGAAGGGAGGAAGGGCGAGGGGTGCAACGAAGAGGTGCGTGGAAGAGGGGGAGACACGCCGTCGGCGCTCAGGAGTGAGGTGTGTTGATCTTGTTATTGTTGTGCAGGGTGAGGAGTGATAAACACGAGGCGCAAAGTCCTAGCGCGCGAAGCATCCGCTGTCTCTACCTGTCTCTCAACATGTCGTTACCGGTATATACCATGCTACCATGTAACAACACACCAGGCACATGGAGCCTGATGCCCCTCCCTACGTCAAACGTCATGGCCCCCATGCGTCCTCTCCCCCCCCTCCTGTGTAGGTACTCCCTCGCCCCCAACCGGCGGCCGCAGGTTCCCATCTCGCCCGCGGTGCCCTTCTGCCTCTACTGTGGCGTGCGGTTGCGGGCGGGCGTCAGCGGCGACAGCTTCATCCTGCAACCCGCACTGCCGCCGGCTGGGGAGCTGGGGCTGGGGCTGTGAGGGCGCTTGTGGGGCGGTGGTGGGGTTGCGGGAGGAGGGAGGTTGAGGAGGGGGAATACCGGTAGCAGCTTGGGAGGAGGTTTCCGCGGGGGTTTATACGGTAGGTGCTGGCCACTTGTTGCTTCCATGGTGTGTGAATTGGATACGGTGAATGGGATGGAACACACGGGGTATTGATGAGGCGCGTACCTCATGGTGAGACGGCGAGTTGGAATGGAAATAGCGTGAACATTGGGTAGTAGCACCTAAGCAGATGCAGTTGTGTCGTTGGTGGACTACGTAGGTACTTGAGTTGGCTTTGACGCGGGAAGCTTGTGACGCGTCGCCCTGTGCACAATGGACGTTGCAGAACCCTTCTTGCATGCCCTCTTGCTAGCAGGTCACACGATCCGACCGATGCATTACGCCGATGCATTGGTCCCCTTAACCGTGCAGTGTGCTTACCGTCACTGGATAACTGGAAGGGTACCATCGTGTTCATGACTGTGCACGTCACTTTGCTTGTCAAGCTGCTAGGAAGTTTGGCAGACGAAACTGGTACGCCTTTACTAGTAAAGCAAGCAAAGCGGTATATGTGTTACACCATCTTGTATGCAATCATCCCGGACCATGCCAGCCTAAGAAGAGCATCCGACTTCATGATGATTTGATGACCCGCGGAGCTGGAGTTCCATGCTATACTTGTTTTCTACTTTGCACAAGGACGTCGATAGAAATGACTCTTATGTAATGCTTGCACTTAACCTCCTCTAAAAGGCTGAATACAGCGAGCATAGAAGAGTAACCACTGTAGAGATATCTTGAAATAAGGACAGGTTTGTGCGCTCTGGACAATTCTTAATAATGCCAACCATGACGGGCTTTCGTAAGTTCTGGCTGATGCTGCTTAGCGAAGGTCACCCATTCCATGCCCGCTAAGGAACCGTGATCTGGCTGTGCAGGCCATGCTCCCGTCAGTAAAGGGCTAGTACTCATAACAGCGGGCGCATCTATTTTAGCTCAAGCTACGCGAGCATCTCGGCGCAGGCAACTGCTGCCGGGCATCCTGGCTCAGGCGTTTGTCTTCCGCAGCCCAGCTGAGCTCTTCTTTGGAGCTCTAGTCATGTACTACTTCCGCATCTTAGAGCGGTAGGTATCCGGGCGTTATGCCGCGCTTGTGCTGGAGTGCTACAGACTGTCGCAGGCCATCGCGTGCCTGTTCCGGTGCCTTTCCATTCCCTTGCGGTCTCACGTCTCGCCCTCTCCTCTCCAAACCAAGACCTCCCACGCCTCTCCCTCCCCTCCCTACCCCTTTTCTCCTCTCTTTCCACCATCCCAGCGAGTCCGGCTCACCCAAGTTTGGTGCCTTCGCGGCCACCACCACCGGCCTAGCCGCAGCCCTGCAGTGGGCCGCCGGCAGGAGCGGGCTGCTGCGGCTGGCTGCCCCCGCCTCGGGCCCCTACGGCTTCCTGTTTGCCTGCTTCGTGCAGTACTTCTTCCAGGTCCCGCCCGCCAGCAAGATGTCGGTGCTGGGCTGGAGGCTGAGCGATAAGGTGGGCGCCTGGGGCCGGCGACCTCTGGGGGGGGCCCTGGGGCACATGGTTTGGGGCTAGGAGTGTCCCGACAACGTCCATACAACAACCCTAACACGCACCCCTCATTCCACCCATGCACCATCCCCTTTGCTTCCTTTGACTACCCGCAGCACGTCCTTGTTCCATCACCCTCCCTCGGCCCCTTCCCTTGTTTGCATTTCTTATATAATTTTCCCCCCTCCCACCGCCCCCAGGTGTTCCTGTACCTGATCGGCATGCAGCTGCTGCTCAGCGGCGGGCCCGCCTCGCTGCTGGCGGGGGGCGCGGGGCTGGTGGCGGGGCTGGCGTACCGGGGGAACCTGCTGGGCATGAAGAGGATGAGGGTGAGGAGCAGGGGAGGGTGCGGGAGGGGAGGGTGAGGAGTGGTGAGAAGGAGAAGGAGGGTACAAGCCTTGCAGTCGTTGGTATAAATAACTGGTGTGCATGCTGCCGAGCCCCTAACCGTTGTGCCACACAACCGCTAGACACCTCCCACGCATGACCTCCTTCGCATCACCTGTTCCGCTCCGATCGTTTCCGCTCTCCTGCTCGCAGTTCCCCGCCTTCCTCACTCGCTTCCTCGCCTCCACGCTGGGAGCCCTGTTGGGCAGCAGCGACAGCAGCCCCGCAGCAGCAGCAGCAGCAACTCCCTCCCACGCGCAACCCCCCGCAGCAGCACAACAGCAACAGCAGGGAGGGCCCGCTGCAGGTGGGAGAAGAGGCGCAGCAGCTGGGGCTGCTGCGGCTGCGGCTGCTGGGGCCGCCGGAGCCGCTAGCGGCCTAGCAACAGGGGCAGCGGGTGCTGGTGGTGCTGGCGGTGGCGGTAGTGATGCACTGCCGGCTGCTTCTCGAGAGGCGGTGGAGCAGTTGGTGGGCATGGGGTTCGCGGAGGGGGCGGCGGAGCGGGCACTGCAGCTCGCGAACAATGACGTGCAGCAAGCCATTGGGCTGCTGCTGAACATGTAGAAGGGGGGCGGTAGGGGCCATGGAGTGCAGGAATACGATAGGATGATTCACGGCGGGGCTGTGTGTATTGATGTCAGCGCATTAATGAACGCTGAACATGCAGGGGAGTTCCCGGTAAGAACATGGGAGTTATTCAGCCCGTTCAACACGTTCAAGCTGGATATGGGAGTTCAGGAACAACTGAGATGCGGGGAAGTAAGTAGATGCACAGGGGTTTGGGAGTGCGGGTCGAGGGGCGCTGGTTGCGGTAGCAGGGATGCAGGGGTATGGGGAAGATGGCGGAGAGGGCAGGGAAGACAAAGCATTGAAGGCATAAAGGGCTTGGTTGCGGTGCAGGCTGGAGAGGTGCGCTGGGAGGTTTGGACGGATGAGGTTTCGACAAAGGGAGAGCTTTTGCGACACATGCAGTTGGAACGCACGGCGGGTGGGGTGTATTGGGATGCGGCAGGGGTGTATTGCCGCATGAAGGCATGATCAGGGTATATGAAGCCGTCCGGTTCGGGGCTTGGCTGCAGGGCTGTAATGCGCCTCTACTGTGTCTCAAGCTAGTGCCTTGTGAAGTAAAAGATTAACGTTCAACCTTTTGACTGTTTGTGAAGGTGAAGGGTAAAACGTGATAGGAAAATGTGCCGTCGTGAATGTGCAGAACGACGGGATTGGTCGTACACTCTGAAACCTTCGGCCATGCTCATGAACTCTACTTTACTTGCATTGCTTTCCATTCCTTCGAGGGCGCAACATACAAGTAACATCCAAGTCGCCGAATTCCATATGGGGCTCCTCGCCCCTCAAGGATCACATGCGCCTGGGCCCGCAGGAGCAGCTGCAGCAGCAGGGGCCGCAGCAGCAGCAGTACGAGGGCCCAGCTGCTGCATGGCACCCGGGCGGCCCAGAATCCTTGCTTGAAACCGCCGCCGGACGAGCCGCCGGCGACGAAGCGGTGCTTCGGCTCAGAGGCGGTGCACGCAGTAAGCGCAAGACACCGGCACGGGGCTCTGGCGCCGCCGCTGCAGCTGAAGGAGTGGTGGCTGCAAACAATGGTGAAGCTGCTGCTGCTGCTGCGGAGGCTGCTGCAGGCGAAGGCACAGGGACCGGGGCTGCTGCCGGAGCTGCTCAGGCAGCACCGGATCAGTCTGCGGAGGGCATCAAAGCAGAGGCAGCTTCCCCTTCCTCCTCCCCGACAGGCGCCAAGCCCGGGGTAGTGCTGGCGGCTCTGGCCTCAGCGGCGGCAGCCACCGCGGCAGCATGCGGGCGGGTGGTCACGGCAGTAGCAGCAAGGCTGGGGGCGAGTCCGGGACACGGTGCGACTACTGCTACCGGGGCTACCGCTGCTGAGAACACAATGGCCGCGGAGGATGCGCCGCCGGCAAAACGCCCTAGGCGGGAGTCGGCTGCTGCCAGCAAAGCTGCTGCTGCGGCCGCTACTGCTCCTGCTGCTGCGGCGGCTGGGCCTTCCACCGCCGCAGCCGCTGCTGGCATCGCGGGGGGCGGTGAGGTTGCAGTGAAGGTGGAGAACGGCGCTGACGGCTCGGGAGCAGCAGCGGTGGGGGCAGCGGGCTCCAGCGGCGGTGTTGCGGGTGGTGGAGAGGCGGCTGGGCGGGGCCGAGGCGGCAGGTCGCAGCCGGCAGCTGCCGCGGGCCTGTCTCGGCGGCTGGGGGGGCTGCATGCGGCGCCGGTTCGGGGCGGGGCGGCGCAGCGGGGGCCACAGGTGCAGCTGCGGGAGGGAGATGCGGTGGAGGTGAGTGACGCGGCGGGGGAGGGGAGGGACGGCTCCGCATCACCCCCATGCAAATCCCTTTCCCTCCCCCTGCCTTCGCCCCTTTCGCAGGTTCACAACGCGGAGGAGGGGCTGGTGGGCGGCTGGTTCCCCGCGCGGCTGGTGCAGCTGGCGGACCCGCAGGTCGGGTACGGCCTGGTGGAGTACGAGGAGCTGCAGGTGGGGTGGAGGGCGGGGGAAGGGGGGAGGTAGGGAGGGGCATCAAGTACCGTAGCGGGGCTTGGCTGCCCAACCCTTGCCGTCTGGCCCCATTTACCTCTTCTCCTCTTGCCTCCCTGCTTATCTTCCCGCTCCTCCTCGCTTCCCACCACCCCCCAGGTCAGCGAGGAGCCCGGCGCCCCCAAGCTGTCCGAGTGGTTCCCGCTGCCTGGCTGCCCCCGCCTGCTGAACCCCTCAGCCGCACGCAACGCGCTCCCACCCCCACCCGGGGTGCCGGGCGCGGAGCAGCAGCAGCAGCAACGGCCAGTGCACTGCAGGCGGGGGTACGCGGTGCGCCCCGTGCCGCCCGCCCAGCTGGCCGCCAGCCCGGTGTCTCCGCCGCTGCGGCTGGGCATGTTGGTGGACGTGTACCATGAAGGCGCCTGGTGGACGGCGCAGCTGCTGGCGGTGACCGGGCCGCAGCAGCGGGTGCAGGCGGCGGCACTGGGGCCGGCAGCAGCAGCGGCTGCAGGACCCGCCGCAGGAGCTGGGGGGGTTGCTTCTGCAGCGCCAGAGGCCGCTGCTGGGGGGCAGGCAGGCGACAGCGCCGCTGCTGTTGCGGCGGCGGCGGCTGCGGGTCCCAGTAACAGGGACGGTAGCAATGGTGGTAGCAGCAGCAGCGGGTGCGGTGTGCTGCTGCATGTCCAGTTGCTGGACGCATCAGAGCGATTGATGGTGCCCCTGGAGCGCTCCCGGGCTGCGGTGGTGTGGGAGGAGAGCAGGGCGAGCTGGAGCCTGGCGCCACCGCCGGCGCTGCCCCGAGGAGAGGCAGCGGAGACGGGTGGGTGGGTGGGTGCGTGAGGAGCGTGTTTACTGAAAGTGGGCTGAGTTCTTCTTGCAACACCGCTCGGCCCGACCTTCTCTCAGGGTCCCCCCCCCCGCATGAACACTTGTTATCTGCTCCTCAAGCTGTTTTTCCTTACCCTGATCTGCCCTGATCGCTATAAACGACCACCGCCAGCCCCCTCACATGACTCCCTTCTCCTGCCTCCTGCCCGCTCCCTCCCTCAGTCCGTCCCTCCCACTACCGGGACGTGGTGCTACTGGAGGGGGGCGACGCAGCCGCTGCCACCCTGGGTCCGCTGTTTGCACGGAGGGTACGGCAGGTCCGGGAACAGCAGCAGCAGGCGGAGGGAGAGAGAGCGGCGGCGGCAGCGGTGAAGCAGGAGGAGGGCGGGGAGGCGACTGCTTGGGTGGCGGCGGTGGAGACGGCGGGACGAGAGATGGTGGGTGTGGGCTTGGCGGCACTGCTCGTGTAGGGGAGGAGAAGGCGGAGGGTGCTGACCTGCGTCGTGAGCGGCAGGACTGATAGCTTGCTGATCCCCACCCTGCTGCCCGCTGCGTCACCGAGTTAGTAACTCTGTAACCGTCTGCCCTGACCCACTGTCCCCAACCCCACGGCGCCGCCAAACACACCTCCCATCACACACTCCCCTTCCTCCGCAGCTGCGTGCCTTCGCCCCGGAGTTCCTGCTGTTGCGGCTGGACGGTCCCTGGCTGTGGGGCGCAGTGCGGGGGGCGCTACGGGGGGAGCTGGCGGGGGCGGCAGGAGAGGCGGGAGCAGGAGGAGGAGCAGCAGCAACAGCGGCCGGGGGTGTCCAATCGTCGCGGCTTGCTGAGCTAGTGGTGAGCAACACACCCTCATGGGCTCGGCAGCAGCAGAAGCAGCAGGAGCAACCACAGCAGCAGAAGCAGAAGCAGGGCAGGAAGGGAGCAACGCCGGGCGGCACAACCGGGGCGGCAGGGGCGGGGGCGGCTCCCCGGAAGGGGCCGGGGGCTGCGGCCGGGAGGGGCCGGGCGGGGGCGGCGGAGGCAGGCGTGAAGGAGGCGGCGGCCGCAAGGTACGTGGGTGCGGTTGCTGCTGGGAAGAGCTCCATATCACAAATGTGTGTCAGGGTCCCAGGGACATGCATGTGTCAGAAGGCATGGCTCGCGCAACACGCCCTAAGCGCTCCTCGTGCTGCTCCCGGTATGTGTGTGCATGCAGGTCCCCTCGCAAGTCCACTGCAAGGGCGGCAGGCGGCCGCTGCAGCAGCCGGGCCGTCAAGCCAGAGGAGGGGGAGGAGCTTGCGGGCGAGCAGCCGCCGGAGCAGCAGGCCGGGTCCCAGCAGCAACCGCAGAAGCCACAGCAGCTGGAGAATGGGGAAGAGGCGGCAGCGGCAGCGGCGGGCGGGGCCGGCAGGGGCACTGGGGCCAAGCGGCGCCGCACGCAGGGCGAGGGGGCGGAGGCCGGCGGCCGGGAGGAGGAGGAGGATGCGGCGGCGGCGGAGGGAGCTGGGGAGCGTGGGGAGGGGGGAAAGACCAAGGCTGGCAAAAGGTAATGGTGTGGGGAGTGGGGGCAGTGCGGGGGTTGGAGGCTGCTGTCCTCTGCGCGGGCTACGGGTGCCGGCGGTTTGGTGGTTTGGAAGGGCGGGGGGCGGTAAGCGCCCGTGTGTATCGCTCATTATCTGCTGACACATGTGCGCAAAGCATGCGCCCTCCCGCTTAGCCAGGAGCTGGTAAGCCTGTCCCGCTAACCCCGCATAAACACGTCAACTCCTCCCCCCCCCTCCCTGGACTCCTCTTCTCTCCCCTCCGCAGCACCGGCAAGAAGCCCCCCACCGCTCGCCGCAGTCGGGGAGGAGCCGCGGGCGCTGCTGCTGCTGCTGCTGCTGGCGGCGGTGCTGAGGGTGTTGCTGTGAAGCAGGAGGAGGAAGAGGGAGGCGCCGAGCAGGCGGCCCCGCGCGACTTCTCCGGCACCGACCCCGAGCTGTTCCGACAGTACGACACACGTCCGGATCCCGAGGAGGGCGGGGCGTCGTTGGATAAGGCGGGGCCGGGTATGATTGTCAAGAGGTGGCAGGCGCTGCTGTCCTCGCTCCCCGCCTCCAGCCTGCGCACCTACGCACCCGGAGAGCGCATGGGCGGCTGCGAGCTGAGCTCGTACGATCAGGCGTACGGCGAGTTCATACACCTGTACGGCAGCAAACTGCCGGCGGGGGCAGGTGGGGGGCCGGGTGGGGCGGGGTGGGGTTAGTGCCGGTATGCTGCTGTCATTTCTCGAGCTTCAAACGCATCCAAACCGTCTTGCCGTCATCTCGATCGGTGATGTCGCGCCCCCTCCTCCTCCTCATCCTCCTTCCCGGACCCTTCTCTGCATAGTTCTCTTCTCTACATCTTTACCTTTTTCCTTCCTTACTCCTTCCTACTTCCTCCCTCCTCCCTGCCCCTCCACGCAGCCAAACGCATCCTGGTGGAGGCCAAGCGACGAGTGCGGCTGCTGGTGCGCACGCCCCCCACCGCCGCCTGCACCCCCGCAGCCACACACAAGACATCAGCAGCCCAGGACGACAACAACACCGCCGCCGCCACCGCTCCCGCCTCCCACCCCTCGGGCCGTGCCGCACGTGCCGCAGCTCTGCGAGCCGTAGCAGCCTCGCGGGAGCATCTGACCCGTGGGTCGTTCAGGGACGGTAGCAGCGAAGAAGAGGAGGAGGAGGAGGAGGAGGAGCAGGGGGAGGGCGGCGGGGGTCGGGGGCGGCGGCGTAGCGGTGCTGCGGGGCGGCCGCTGACGTCGGGCAAGGGAGGGGCAGGGGGAGGTAGTGGGAAGCGACGGAGTAAGGCCAAGAAGGAAGAGGAGGAGGAGGAGGGCAGCGAGGGGTCGGCGTTCAGCATGGGGGATGCGGAGGAGGAGGAGGGGTCCAGCGGGGGGGAGTCACTAGAGGTGGAGGAGGAGGAGGAGGGCAGCCAGCAGGAGGAGGAGGAAGAGGAGGGCAGCGACTTGATGATGGATGAGGATGAAGGAGGCGGCGGAGGAGGAAGCGCGTCAAAGTAAGTGCCTGGTATGTGGGTATAACGGTATGTGGGTTATCTACTAGGCGTGAGTGATCCTGGCGAACCTAATATAGGCGATATGGATGTAAGAAGCGGGCTATGCTCGCTAAACAGCCCTCCTGACAACCCACCACCACCCCCCAACTGTGTATTCCTCTCTCCCCACCCACCCCTCCTTCCCAACCCTCCCACTCCCCCATTCAGACGCGGCCGGGGCGGCCGAAACGGCGGCCGCAGCAGCAGCGCTGCTCGCGGCTCTGGCGGCGCCCGTGCCGCTGCTGCTGCTGCGGGTTCTGCTGTCGCCCGCGCGCGCAAGGTGTCCCCCAAGGAGGAGGAGGAGGCCGCTGCCGCCGCCGCCGCGCCTGCCATCTCCGCCGCCACCCCCGCGTTATTCGCGCCGCTGGCCCCCGCGGCGGCCAACTTGGAGGACCCGGTGGCGCTGGTGAAGGCGGGGCCGGGCATGATATTCAAGCGGTGAGGAGGGGCGGGGGGGAGGAGGGGAAGGGAAGAGAAGGGAGGGGAAGGGTGGGCGAGGGCAGGGCGTCAATTACCGGTACAAGCGTAGGGGTGAGGGTATGGACCTGCTCGGATGTAGGTCATGCGAAGAAGAAGGAGAAAAAGAGGATCTATCCTGGTCAAGCTCTGGTTAGTCCACACCGTGCTTTCGAGGCCCACAACTCCTCACACCTTCTCCGCACCCTCCTCTCACCCCCACCCCACCCCAGCTCATACCTCATATCCCTCTTCTTACCCCCTCATTTGTGGTTTGGTTTCTCTCTCCGCCCCCCCCCCCCTCCCACCAGCTTCCTGAGCC